GATGACACATTTACCATTTCTGTGCCTCCCCCAAGCATCTTACTAATCAAGACATAGCATATTTGTGGAATATTCAAACCTACTGCACAATGTTTTTCTTTTTGTCTGTGTGTGTGTGTGTATGAAAAAGATCTCCTTGAGCTTGCAATTAGTTAACTGCATCCTTTGTAAAGTGGTGGAAGTTCAAATAAGCACAGCCATCAGATTCTTGAAGATGTGTGATTATGTTACAATTATGTGCTTTATCCACACGGAGAACTTGGATCAAGTATGAATACAACACAGGTTCTAAAAATCACATCCATATGCACTCCCTCTCTTTCCTACACACACATATGGAAGCAAAGGAAAACAAAAGCCCAAACTTAAAGCCAACCACTAACAGACTCTTTTGTGAGATGATTGAAAGAAAAGTCTAATTCTTCCCTGCAGTTTTTCTTTCACATTGGTCTCCCTGGAAGCACACAGAGTTTGTTGCAAAATGCCATTTTTAATCTTTTTTTTAGATTTTTGTTATTTTGCATGTTTGAATTCACACAAGATTTTAAAATTTCAGTAAGCTTGAAGAAATGTAGATTTGAAACTAAAATAATTTTTGATCCTTTGAAATACTGCAAAGCTTGTAATAAATAAGCTAACATTGGGTATTAAAAGATGTTTTGGAGTAAAACATTTCAATTACACATTTTTCAATTATTTCAGGATACTCAAAACACACTTGGGAGATCTGCTGAAACTAACTCTTTCAAAAAGTTCCAATGTTGGCTGTTAGCATAGTTTTCATGAGAAAATATGTGCTCACTGACAAGCATTAGAATACAATCCAAATCAGTTTAGTACCACTACTTTGGAAAACTTCCTAAAGGCACTGCAACATGTCTAATTTCTTCAGTATCTAATGGGCTAATGCCCAAAGCTTGAAGGTAAAGCAATATATATGAAGACAAAGATGAAGATAAAAGCATATATATATATGAATCTATTCTTGGTTATAAGTTTAGAAGAGTGATACAGTGACATGTGTCATCTCTAGAGGCCAATATCATGCAGGAACTGATGATTTCCAGAGGAAAACCATCAGTGCATCAGGGAAGTACCAGATCAGGCTTTCTGTGGCTTTTTTTTTTTTGAAGGAGGGCCTTTTAAGAGCAATTCTGATTTTTTTTTTCTTTATTTCATCTGAAAATAAAGCAGGAATAGCAACTTTCCTCTCTACCTTCTCAATTCTATTTCTTAGCTAGTGCTCTGAGCAGCCACCATTAGCTAAGATGCTTCTGTCATTTTCCTCACCCTGCTGATAGCTATGTCCATGATAAGCCACTTGGGACAGATTTTCTTAGGGTATTCAGGCACTTAATATACCAACAGGCTCTTAACCATCTTCAAAAATACCAAGCTGTCCAGCTGCCATTCATACTGATGGAAGATATGCTACTTCTGGCATAGGCTCTCTGACTGGCCCTTTAGTGCCTAAATATCTTGAGCATCTGTCATAGATCTCTGGCTTCCCAATTTCCTACATCTCTGCAGTGGTAGCGATTATGCTTATAACTGCACACCTCAAAGAATGAAGTGAAAATTGTTAAACAAGTACTATTTAGTAACATCTTAAACAGAGGTAGATTTGAAAGATCACTGGAAAGAAAAATAAGCACCTATCATTATCAAACAGAACACAATACTGGAATTAAGGGGAACAGCCTTGAAGAGAAGGGTATCAAAACTTCTAGAATCTGAAAGAAAAGTTTTCTTTTCCTTAGGACAGCTGCAGAACATCATCACTGCAATCTTTTAGCCAAGAATATATGGGTTCTTGTAAGGTATCAGCTGAAAGCACCGACTTCCTGACACAAAGCAAAACAAAGGATACTGTTCCTGTTCAATGGTCGCAACTTCAGTTTGGACTTACAAGGACTAGCACTGTGAAGAATTATTGCTTTTCTTCATGGATGGTTTTTTTCTAGCATCCAATGTGGACAGCCTCAAGTCTCCTCCCCCAGACAATTCTTCTCATAAAGGAGGCTAACTAATTTGAGGACAAAGAGAGATGCAGTAATTCTTATAGGCCCCATTTCAACAAGGCACTTAAGCACATGCTGATGTCGATCGCAGCTGAGCAAAGGACAAAAGCACATGCTAGCTAAAATTATGTATGCATCCCTACAGTCTCCATGAGATGTTTGTACAAGCACTGGCGCTTAGCGGAATCAGAGCTTCTGGGTATAAAGCTACAGAACTTGTGTGTTGTGGGTTCATTTAGTGCTGATCGCTAGGACATCTTCTATGGTGACTGCTTCTCCACCCAGCATTCACGATCCCAAACAAGACTGAATTATACCATGGGACTAAGAGCAAGGGGTTTTTTTTGCTTCAGTAGATGAAACATGGGAGATCTGTAAGCATCCATCTAATACTAAATGGCTTCTCTGCTATTGCCTGAGCCCCATCTCCATAATTTCGCTAGCAATGAACTGTGATTATTCCTAGTTTCTACATTCAACATCTGTGGTATTTTTGCAGTTTCTCTTACATACTGCTTTGCCTCTTGGAGACACTTTTGTTTTGTTTTGTTTAAATGACACACCCAAATGGTGCACACTAAGGAATGTAAAGCAAATACTAGTTATCTGAATATTATTAATATGTATCTATGGTGAATTAAATCTGGAGGTGACACATTTCATTATTGCTAAGAAGTCACCCCTGGTGTTATTGCCTTCGTACCTAGAGAGCATTGCTGTTTATCTTTCAATACTTTTATGATTATTGGTGTTGAAGTAAGAGTTACATCATGCAACGACTTGATGTTTCATGGCTTAAGAGAGAATATTGCTAAATATTTTTAGCAGTAGTAAATTATTGCTTTTACAATTACTGCTCTGAGTTTTTAGAACATCATCGACCTAATTTTATTAGCAAAACAAAATTTACCAAGAAATCTAACAAAAATATACCTAGGAAAAAGAAACATTTCCTATAGCAGTTTTGAGACAGCTCAGACCTACCAACTCTGAAATGACATCATATCCACTTAATTTTTATTTCCCTTCCTCCTTACCTTGGAGAGAAGCTTTTTTTCCTTTGCTTTCTTCCCTTCCCTTCCCTTCCCAAGTATCTCACTTGATACTTGATTTTTTTTCCTACCACAGCATTGCAGGCTTGTAGGTCACCTAATAGAACAGTCCTGTTTTAGTAGAATTTTGAATACCTAAGAATTAGTGAATTTAAAATATCCAGTAATATATTCTAAACAATCTCTCTCTGACATTTGGAACAGCATCAGAGTATGATTTAGCTCATTTCAGTTTACCTGGCACACTTGGGTAAGATGAGAGATTAATCAGATTTTAGTTAATTTCCAACTTAGATAGTGATGCCCTTGCAGTGGAAAATGCTCACTGCTGTTTTGGCTGGAAAAATGTTCAGTTGTTCTGAAATTCTGTATGGAGTTTTGCCATTCTCTAGTAAAAAACACTGGCTGTTATTTACTACTGTGAATCCTGCGCAATATTATCTGGCAAAATCAATTTAGTGTTCAGTCACTGTTGGGTTCTTCAGAACTTGTCAAAACTGCCTAAGACCCCTGATTGCGCCCCTTTCAGCCCAGCACACTAGCTTATTGGTATCCTCTGCTGTTACCTGGAACACAGGAATGCAAGACCCGTGCACTCTGCTTCTTTTCTATGCAACACAGATGATAAAACTTCCTGGGGAATCAAATGCTTTGTCATGAGCAAACAAACAGCCAAAAATATCTAGAGAAGGCCTGTTCCCTTAGTAGTGGAGGTCTGCAATGAATGATTCAATGAGAAAACAACCTCTAAGCCACAAGCACACTGAGAGGGAGTGGGCCACAAATATTCTTTCCCTAAAGATGTAAAATAAAAACAAGCTGTGCATATTCTTTTGACTATAATCTGTTCCCCAGCGCTGTCATGCCTCTAACATACAAACATACATATAGTTCATAATAGTGAGTCTATCTATGAACTAAAATGATAACTCAACATTGACAGGAAAAGTTGCTTACTGAGATAAGTCCTTTTGGGCTTAGACATACATGAAAAATCTCCTTTCTTGTTCCTTGTAGCCTGTAAAGATACGTGTGCTTCTTTCTAACCTGGTCTTAGCTTGGCATATCTGCTCTAAAAATCAGAACAAGTCTTAACATTCACAAACATTTTTCTATGAAGCTCTATGCAATCTTCTTTCAATACAAACGGGTTATTATTTCAAAATATATATACAACTCTCAGCAGAAATTTTGGTGCTACATCTTCAAGTGTCTGAGGGAGCCGCAGTTCGATGTGGTTATTTACACTTCCACAAATCCTCATACAAGATATGCAACCTCGTCAATGAACAAACGAATAGAATATATACTGATAACATCACGTGTGGTTATGCAGTTCACCTGAAATGGGCCATTTAGTTGTGGAGTGCACGCTAAGAATGCACGCAGATGCACATGTCCCTGTAGGCACACAGCTGCATACACTACCAGAATTCTATTGGCACATGAGTGTATGTGCTGTTCATATATGAAGAAAAATGCGTGTATATCCCTATCTGCGTCGCTGGGTAGAAGACGACAGAACAGAGTGTGAAGGCAGATAGACACTTGTATGTTTGAGAGTGGCAACTGCACACCTTGTCATGCCAGTGTGAAAAGGACAGTTGCAGGTTGCTGGTTTTGCAGCCATTAATTTTACATCTTAGTGGGAGGGGGTAAAAAAAAAGGATTTTTCAGTTCCCTTTTTCCCCCCCAGTAAGCGTCATTGGAAGAAGACCAAAGCAGAGCAACTATAAGTTAAATATACACTTGAGCTTAGCTGCATTACATAACTGTAGGAGAAGCAGGCTGAACAGATTTTTTTGTTGTTTCATTTAAATCTTTGTATTTTATTTCTCTTCCTTTTCATCTCTTAACTGCCATTAATTTTTCCTCCTAAATTACATCATCCTCTGAAGAACGCTGGGTTTCGCAGGCAGGCGGCTAGTCACCTGCAACAACCAAGGGGTCCCGCAGAAGCTTCCAGGCTGCTGTCTGTGTCAGACGCCAGTGTTTGATCCGTGGACATGGATGAGATATCGTTGACAGATGAGGATGGAGGGAGGCTTTCACTGCTGTTCACTGCTGCACCTGTGCTACGAAAACAAACACCAACGTGATTAAACCTGAAACCCCAGAACTTTTCAGAGTTTAAAAAGCAAAGGATACTTACCCTGTGGCCACAGGCATGTAAGTACACAGACCATTTTAAACAATGGCAAACATTACCAGAAAATAGGCCATGCAAACTTCAGGCATTGGATAATATTAAATATTTTACCAGGGAATTCTCTCCCTCAACAGTCTGGTTTGAAGAGGTATAGTTCACATTGTGTCTATCACTCCAGTTCTTTCTAGAGTTACAAAACGCCTAACAATCAGATGTCTGCTAGGATCACTGGCATCAAGAAGATGATTAAAATAAACCAACCCAATACTCCATGCTCTCTCATAAAACCCCAGTTTTCTTGTAGGTAGTTCAGTAGAATGTGTGGCATCAAATCACTTAGTGGCAATGCAGAAAAGATGGCTGGTTTCTTCCTCTTAGTTAAGGATTAGGTGATTAAGAACAGGATTTCAGTTGTGACAGTATTTTTTGTGCATGCAGGTTTACCTGTCCTCTGTTAAATGACAGTGGCGACAGCACCAGGTATTATCCAAAAAATCACTGACTTTGTGAAATGAAGAATGAACCTTCAAGAGATTATCATGAATGTGACTGGACATTTATCACATCCCTGAATATTATCAGACATTATCTGTCCTATAAATACAGAAAACTGTGATAAATACAGAGCCATGTGAAGAATGTATTTATTGTGCACCTATGACTGCTTAACCATCACTCTGCCCGTTAACCTCAACTCATGCTTAAGTTCTCAGAGTAGCAAACAACAGTTTGGTGTATTTTTCCACTAAACTTTCAGGCAACATTTTGTTGTCATCTTTCCACCAAAATTAACAGTGTCTTCAGTTTGGGAGGGATACATTAATTTTCATGAAATATTCATGACAATAAAATATGTGATCTTGCATGATATTACATGGCTGGAAATTGTAACTAGTCACTGTGACACATGGGTCTTTGTTCTGCAGAGATGCTATTTTGTTCTTATGGATGAGAAGTTTTCTGAGTTCACATTTACAAATTTTCATTTCTTTGAAATGGACAGAAATTAACATCCATTGCCTTGAAAGGCAAGAGAACACACCTAATAAGACACACCTGTTAAAAACTACAAACATCGTATATCCTTAATACAGAAATTAACAGCCATTTATACAGCTGAGGCAAAATATATGATGGGCTATGGGCAAAAGGAGAGGATTTCTGTCACTTGCCAGTTTGCAATAAAAATTTGAGAAAACAGGCGACCATACCATACATCAACCACTCGCCTACTTTCCTCAACTGTTTTTTCCCTTTATACACATCCATGATAAATATGCACAAAACAGAGACATATACGCTCACATTCAGAGCTGCTTTCTGCTGCTGTAGTAGCACAAAGTTACTCGGGCATCAGAAGAACCCTTGAATTAGCTTACTCTCCTGATACATTTGGAAAATAAATTAGTTAATTTTGTAAATGCTGCAAAAAAGACAGAGCAATCTCAATGACGTCTCACTGGTGACTGCAGACAGCAATCATCCATCTTTTCTGACAGATTTGTTTTCTAAGAGTTATTTACACTTATCCATATTGATCAGTAATCAGTACAAAACTGTTACTTCATGTTTACATGTTATTAAACCATGTGGCATTTTATGAAAATACTGATCAGTCAAAACAAATGCATTTGGATATAGTCAAAATATGACCAAATTTAATTATCTTAATGACTAAAAAATGTATTACCTTTCTAAATGTTTACAGTTCTGGACAGGAGCCTGCCCTTAACTCATGGTTACTGTCCCAGGAATCAAATGGAAAGAATTCCAGTAAGTTCAATCAACTTTGGATCAAACTGTTGCTGTGCAGCTTGCTTTGATGGATGTGCGATCAACTTAGCTAGGCAAAGTAACTGAAGAAATAGCTGCAGAAATTGTATAGGTGAAGATTCTGTTACACTCTGTCTGATTCATAACTACTGAATTCAATAAACCCGGCTATGTTCACTTCAGCAAGTATCAACTCGGACCGTAAGTTTCTGGAAGATGCATTTTTATGGTTATTCATAGCTTTCAGCACAATTCCGCATGACACGACATACAGACCTGATAGTAACTGTTGCAGCCCCAGAGCACCCAGACTCACAAAATACCCACAAAACCAAATGAAACCAAATCAAACCTAAATAACAGAACTAAAGAATTCAGCAGCACAAAGCACTGTTTAAGCAGCAACACTCAGAAAACCAACCAAAAGCCATCCTAGTCAATAAGTAATACTTCATTTGCTATGCTCAGCACCTGCCTGGTGCTGCAACAGCTTGCTCCTGAAGGGATGGCTGTAACATCTCAGAAGTGATGGAGATGCATTCAGAAGAGAAAAAGACCCCTGTTTATGAAATTGCTGTTTGGCAAGAAGTTTCTCATTGGCTGCAGGGTCAAGGGGAAGAGCAAAAGTTTAGGGCCCGGGAGAGACAGCTCCTGGGATCTGTTACTGGTTCTGCCATTGACTTGGCACTCTAAAGCTACTCTTTTAAGTTACGCATCAGCTTCCCTAAAGCAGGAATTCCTTCCTGAGAGATCTCTTGTGAAGCACTATTTAATTAGCACCTATGGAAGTGCCTTTAAGACTTCAGCTGTAAAGTAGTCCAGATGTGGGAAGTGAAAAACTGAAAAGAGAGCTGCAGCTTTTGCTGTTCCCCCCCCCCAAAAAAAAAAGGCCTTGTATCTGCCTTGGGGATTTGCTCAGCTTCTTGCAAATTGTGTAATCAGTAACTCTTGATAGCCAACGTCACACTGCCTGGCTAGTCCATCAGTTGCTTATTTTAGGCTCTGCATACAACAGAAGAGGGCTGCTACAGGTATCCAGTAGCTCTTGGGGGACAGAAACAAAATGATCAAATCAGACAGCAACTAAAAGGCAGGAAAGGAAGAATAGAAGACCCAATTTTCAACAAGAAGGGGGACTGTTAAGAATAAGCTGCATTAGGATCAGCACTAATTACTATATTTAGTATCCAAAAATGAGAAGTTAGTTGGAAATGTTAGGGATGAAACCATAGCTGGGTAGTGAAGTCTAGGGGAGAGCATGAGAGAAGTGGTTAGATAGTTATGCAGTGTTAAAGCAGAGGAAATCTGCAAATAGCAGCAAGATTATTTACTTTGGGCAGAACTTAAGTTTAATTCCAAATAATTTACAGCCTTGTATTTTTAAAAATGTAAATACCTGCTGTTTGCAGGTAGAATAGGATGTGGAATTGAAAATGGTATTGGTGAACTCTTCCCATATCTTTTCATAAAACAGTTTATATCCTTTCCTTCACTGCTTCTGAAATGACAGAGCAGGAGTCCTGAGACTGCTATTGAAAAGTTCTACTATACTTCTTGGTAAAGCGAGTAATTTAAAATAAATAACACATCTTTGTGAAGGCCCTAATGGTTATTTACCTCAAACAGTCACTGTGAAAAGACACTGAGCAGAGACAGATGTTGCCAACAAGGGTATGTGAACTGTTAAGCTATGTGAGCAGAAGACCTTGAGAAGCAGATAAGGTTGGGCATGGGAGGGGAGAGGGGGTCCCAAGGAGTTGGAACAGCCTTCTCCCAAGACCCATCCCACTTCAGTAATTGCAAAGTGGCCTTTTGCTTCATTATTGGCTAAATACATATAACGGGTGACACCCATGAATATGCAGATGAGGATTACAGAGTACATACACCACATGTAGAGGCACGTCTGTGTTTTATGATTGCGTGTAAGGGTATGCCCTTCTTGTGTCATTGATTGAGGAGGCAACACTTTAATGCTTTAATGGAAGCATTAAAGACACCTCCAGCAGGGGCCAAGTGTGCACCTGTCACTGGAGGCCCTCACAGAAACATCGCGGGAGCTAATGATGATGTTCCCCCTCCCACTTTTTTTCTCTTTTGTTTGTTTTGCTTGCTTCTTCTCTCTCTCTTCTTTCTTTCTCCTTTCTCTCATTCTTTCTTCTTGAAGCCTTGGGCCAGGTATTTGCTATCATATGCCTTATAATCTCATATTTAGCTGAAATCATGGTAGTTTATAAATTGTTTGCCAAGACTCTTGTAGATTGCAGTTGCCAATAATCAGCAAAAGACTTTTTTAAGCTTGCTGTGTCTTGAATTCTGACCCACCACAGCTTGGTCTCTCTGCAGTAGTGGTATGAGATATTTCCATTTTGTTTTGAACCCTTGAAGCAGGCCGCTTTCTTTTCTGACCCAGAGATAACGCACACCTTGGTCTGTCCACAGTAGCAAGATGAGACATTTATTGGTGTCAGAAGTGGGATCTCTGGAAGAAGTCAGCTAGAGGGTTTCCCTATCACACAGGGAAAATCATAAAGGAGTATCAGCTGAGCTGAGGAAGGAGACTGATGTTCGGCTGCTTTCCAAAAATCTCTGGCAGGAGGCAATGGCAACCCTGATTAAGCCTGACCTTGACTGCTCCCCCTTGTTGCTACTGTTGAAAGTATATGAAGCATGCCCTAAGCCGAAAAGGCGATGCTGGCCAGAAAGTTATTGGCAATCTCCTGTCACAATAGCAGAGTGAATAAGAGTCTTGGCGAAAGAAAACAGATTTAAACCTGGCAAAGGTAAAGTGGTGGTTTGTGGAGTTTTGGGAGCTGCTCTAATGGCTGCTCAGAAAGGTAAGTACATTGCTGAGCAAACTGAGGGTGTATCCATGTCAGGGGTGGTTAAAACATTATGGGCAAAACTGGAAATGGAAGGGACAGAGGCAGCAGGCCGAGCAGTTGCTAGTTGAGGAAAAACACATCACTTGTAAAACATTACAGGTAGAAGGGGAAGGGGTACACCATCTAAATTTATAAATAAAACAGAACCAATTTGCAATTCTGTAACATAGGAAGAATAGAAAAAAACCCTACCATCTAAGATTAAATTAAATATTTATGTGTGCATGTGAACATGCATATGTTGTTTGCAACACACATACACACCAACACACAAATCTTTTCACTCTGTTCAGCACTACTAGTGCCTTAAGCAGATAGGTTTGGATACTGTGATCTCTGAAAGATTGAAGTCAGCTAGATAAAGTGTAGAGAAAAGCAGTAAATTTGGAAGTTTCAAAGATGTGGGTAGTGAAGTCCGCAGGAATGAAGAGTTATAAGGGATGCAATAATATAATTTAAGTGAGCTAAAAGCTGCCAGAAGGAAAAATGTAGGAAACTGTTCTTCATGTTCTCTGGAGACAGGACAAGAAATAACAGAATAATAAACTTCATAAAAAAAAATATTAGGCAAGACAATACGAAAAGCTTTTTGAAAGTAAACAGGATAGCTTACAGAAGTCTTCTGGAGTAGGCAGAAGTTTGTTCATTGGACACAACATAAGGGGAACTTGAGTTTCCCTCTATCCTAGTTTTGCTCAACACCCTCCAAACCCGCACATTTCAAGGTTGTATGTTGTATTAACTACTTCTTCACAGGACAAGAGGAGGCACTAAGTGACCAAACCCTGATCCACAGGCACGCTAAGTAGGCTGCAGCCTCAATGGGCAACTATGATCCTTGGTGCTGTCAACTTCAGCTGTCTCCCCAAAAGCACTGATCAAGTAACCATAGAAACTCACCTCCAGCTTCCTTGCTATGAGAGCCGCAAATCCTAGCCCTCTGAATTCTTACCAAGAACGCTGACCAACAAGCAATGTGTGTGTAGAGTTGCCCTCATTTCCTGCATGCTCAGAACTAGTGTCTCGTTTTACCTCATTCTTTCAGTATTTCATTCAGTTCAAATAAATTGTTAGGCGTACAAAACCAGGAAATCTACTGTTTCATGAAACAGCCTCATCTCAGAGCAGTTTTTAATTGGTTACTATACTTGCTGGTGCCTAACAATCCAAGACCAGTGAAAGGGGAACAGCAAAAGAAAATCAGGTAAGAAATGGCAATTTCGTATATTTAGGAATGTTTTACATAAACAATAAAAACCTTCTACATCAGAAAAACAGAACATGGAATACATAAAAGAAATCCCTGTCTAGTTAATTCCTGAAACCAACAACAATGTTTCTAGCTCATAAATCAGACTGCAACCACCATTCTGCAGGGGAGAGAGATTAAAGAATGAGGATTTATCACATACCTGTCAGGGCCCCAGATTCCTTCTCAGTGGTGGTACAGTAATTTGGCAAATGAAATCTGCAAGTTCTAGACTTCATTTGCTACTTGGCAAGAACACAACGGATTGTTTTCAATATCTTATTTCATTGATATAAAAATCCAGGTGTGGTGCTAGCACTCTAATATTACCAGCTAGTACTCCATTAACTTCATCGTTGCCATGTTTCCCCTGTCCTTGTCACTAATGATGCATTCTTGTTCTAATATTAAGTTAACTCAGCAGCAAGTGAAAAATGAGAACACACACAAAAGAGTCCCTCTGAAAATACACAGAGGGCACTGAATTAGATTTTACTTTGAGGAAAGGCTCTGCTAAAGGTATTTAGTTTTATCCATAAACACTACTGGGACACTATTCTCAGAATCTGGGCACTTCAAGTCTGCCAGTGAAAGCATGCCTTCACAGATACGTATTTCTGTGTGTTGGCAGTCAGATTTTGCATTTCTGTGAAAAGATTGCTGATGTGAATTCTCCTCAGACAAAATTTAGTTGTGATTTTTCTGTGACAGGACTTTAGGAATCTGTGTGTGAAGACAACTTTCTCTTCTCATCCATGGGTCAGTCAAGCCCATCAGCAATGTTCTAATGTTATAATTTTCCAATGTTATCTAAAAGGATAAACTACCAGAGCAGGGACCAGTTGTTTACATGGGGGGGATGCAATGTCACATGTCCAACAGGTGGATACATCCTAACATCACCAGTTTTGTTTATATGTAGCAGCGTATTAGTTCAGTTATCCATCTATAAGCAGTATAGTAATTATAGTGTGAGATAAATCTCCCCACCCACAGGAGTATAATCCGTAACCACAGATCTTTCCATAGAAAATACCAGGACAGATATATCTCAAATAGCAAGATGACCAATTTTTAAGTATTAACACAACACTGAAGCTTGATTAATAAAGGTCAATCCATTAAAAGCATTGGATTTAATAAAAACTTTTTAATAAACTCGGTGTACATAACTGCAAGTGTAACCCAAGTGCTTCAGCTATCGCTATGCTCTTTTTGTCAGTACAGAAAACACATCAAAGTTATTTCATGGGGTTGAGTACCTGAAGGAGAAGGCTGTCCTTTAACTACACCATTTTTAGTCTTTTCTTCAGAATTCATTACTTCTTTGTAGATGAGTTCTGGAAGAGCAAATTGCAATAGTTACAAACAGGAACCAGTGCCTGTGATCAGCAGCAAAACAACTGTCAAAAACCACAGTATCATAGCCCTCCCACAGGCTTCCTCTATCTACCCTACCTAGTCTTCAAACCTAAGACCTTTATTTTCCATTCCCCTCCTCTCCTATCATCTCTTTTTGGAGCTGAATTGAGACAAAAAGGGTAAAACTAGGAGCACATGAATTGTTTAATGCTGCACTATCTAGAAATGAAGCACCACAGTAATACAGTGCTTTTTACAATGGGTAAAATTTGGATGCATTGTCCTGCTGGACAGTATCCTGTTAAAAAATGATATCCTTAGATTTCAACGAAGCACTGGAATCTGCACCCCCTGTGTTAACATTAACCTATGCAGATAATGATAGTACTCGGGACATTTCTTACATTTTCACTACCAAAGCACCAGTTCTTAGGGTTAGTGTAAATTCTTCATGTCAAAGGAATCCCTTTGGGTTTAGACAGATGTACTTGGTGGTGAGACATGGCCATTTTGCCATTGAAATACCCCTTTCCATATAATTCTAAACTGCAATTACCTTTCCATTCCTCGATTGTGTGTTCCCTTTCATCCAGTTGTTTATCATATATCTGAGGAGGAGGCTGCAGGAGAGAAACAAAGCTATTTAGTCGATCGTCACTTATATTGAAAATAATGGGGAGTACTGTTTAAGTCAAGATGTATTATCTTCTCCCTCTTTGTTATTCATTCTGTACATGCAAAAGCACACGAAACACATGTGAATATTAAAGGATTATAACTTCTGGAATTCAACTCTTTATGTAGAATAAATGAATACACATCTCCCTTTTCCTCTTTTAAACAAGAGGCATAGTTGCAGTTGAGAAAGAGACCAGGTCACCAATGCCACTGCGCTCATATTGAGCCCAGAAATTCCACACACAGATTGCTTGCACTGACAAAGTAATGTCAGACAACCAGACAAACATCAATCCTGACTAATTAGTAGTAATAGTAATATATTATCATAGAATCATAGAATGGTTTTGGTTGGAAAAGACCTTTAAGATCATTGAGTCCAACCGTTGAACCAGCCCTAAGTCCACCACTAGACCATGTCCCTAAGTGTAACATCTTCTTGTCTTTTAAACACCTCCAGGGATGGTGACTCAACCACCTCTCTGGGCAGCCTGTTCCAGTGTTTGGCAACTCTTACACTAAAGAAATTCCTCCTCATATCCAACCTAAACCTCCCCTGGCACAACTTGAGGCCATTACCCCTTGTCCTATCACTAGCTATGGGGGAGAAGAGACCAACCCGCACCTCACTACAACCTCCTTTCAGGCAGTTGTAGAGCGTGATAAGGTCTCCCCTCAACCTCCTCTTCTTCAGGCAAAACAACCCCAGCTCCCTCAGCTGCTCCTCATAAGACTTGTTCTCCAGAACCTTCACCAGCTTTGCTGCCCTTCTCTGGACACGCTCCAGTGCCTCAATGTCCTTCTTGTAGTGAGGGACCCAAGACGGAACACAGGATTTGAGGTGCGGCCTCACCAGTGCCAAGTACAGGGGAAGGATCACTTCCCTACTCTCCTGCTGCCCAAACTATTCCTCCTTGCCAGAATTTCTGATCCACATTCCAAATTTCCAAGCTCTCCAGTAACTTTGCTTTGACCAAAAATGTGTAGGGTTGGTTGGTTTGTTTGTTTGTTTACTGTATTTTTAGTTGCTGAGAATGTAACAGAAGTAGCAGATCCTGCAATTGACTGAGATAGAGGCAGCTAGAGTTTATGAGAGCCTGCATACTTGCCTTCATTTGGCAAATAAACCATGTATTCATTGTCTCTCCTGTTGTTAGCTGCCAAATACAGCAGCCAAGCAAGGCAGAGGACTCTGTCCACCCTCCTTTTACCAAGAAGCTTCAGCATTTGAGGTAAGAGTAACTAAGAAAGATGGAAACAAGACCTATGAGATGCTCACTCATAAGTATTTCCTCTAACTTTCCTCTTGGGCACTCAGCCATTGCATCCCTTTCAAGACTTCCTGCTTTTAAATGTACATTTACCAAGCTGTTTTATGATTCCCTAAGAAGTTGAGAATTTGCTCTCAGGACTAGCACCATCAGTCCATTAAGCTGTTTGCATGCTACAGATACAGTTGAGACAGTAATCATCTATATATGATAGCTGGAATGGACAAGTCCACTGAAAACAAGAGAAGTTTCTGCAGAGTGACATCTGTATTGCAGCTAAAATTAAGGGTATTAGGTGAAGTCCTGGATTGCCAAGTCTTATACCTGAGAAGGTGCTGAGAGGGAACTTCAAACACATGCCATGAGTTAAAGTGAGTGCCAGGCCTCAGCAGGGGTACCTGAGGTTTTCTTGTGTCAGCAAGATAAGATACAACCCCACAAGAAGTACGAGTCCAAACCCAGTGCAGCCCTTTTCTCATTCAGCATTATTAACAGCCCTCCTCTGTCCTTTCCAGTCAGACTGGATGTTTAAGATAGATTCAACCAAAATTGAAGCAGTGCCTGTGGAAACTCCATCTTTCTGCTGATCATGATATCAGGGAGCTTGATGCTACAAAGGATTGCAGGCAAACCTCACCACCAACCAGTGGGATGCGGTAAGCTCCACTCCTCCAGCAGAGCCTGCTGGGCTACTGCTCAGCTCTGCCCCACACATCTCCTACTGGGGGAAAGCAGAGAAAGCTTGCGAAGACAAGGAAACCCTGAGGAGATAGAAATTCACAGGAGACTTTACAGGGGCTGTCTGCTCCACTACATAGCTGACTCTTAGCTTTTAGTGGTAGCAGCACAGGTGGCATTTGGTTGAGCTGTAGTCTGAATCACAGCAACAGACCCACTGCTTCTCTGTCAGATGGAAGGAAAGGAGATGAACCAAGTTGGACAGTAATATCCTGCAAGTACCTTTCTTTCTTAAAGCTTCAGGGAAGGGCTTAAAAAAAGGACAGGCTATAAGTAAAATTGCTCCTATCAAGTGTAAAAACTCTTTTTACACTTTCCATATTAAAACGAGGGTATTTTTTCCCCAGATAGAAATAAGAGGATAGATTCTTTCACTACTTCAATTTCCAAACACACAAATTACAGATTCAAAAGGAACAGGTGATCAGATGCACATTCCTGTCCTCAGTTCTCACAGCCACAAAATCTTTGGCTTATGTCTCTTCTAATTTATTTCAGCCATGTCTTAAGCAGGCATAATGGGCTAATAGGCAACAAGAAAAGCAGCAGTAATTATTTCCCAGATTAACACATTCTGGAAATGAAGACATTTTGCAGGAACAGAACCCAGAAAAATCTCATTTGTTACCAAGCTCCTATTTTGCTATGAAGACAATCAAGGGACAGCAACCAAACTCCGCATTTCACATACTGCGGGATGCCAGAAACTGCACCAACACAGTGAGTTCTGCTGCTGTACCAGTGTTTACACTGCAGACCTTTATTTGTGAGCTACCAGAAACCACCACAGCTATAGAAAAGGGCTCTCGTCAGGAACACAAGAACCAAGCAAGGGTAACAAATATTCAGTGTGATAATGACATGAACAAATCCCTCCTTTCACACAGGCAGCATCTATAATGTCTAAAGCCTGTTCAGAACATCAGTGACTGGAGCTCTGCTGAGAGGCCAGGTCAGTGCTCTTGCACTGGGAGCAGTGAAGCTTTCCCATCTAAATTCTGTAACATAAGGAGATGAGCCTTATGACATAATTTAATTGATTCAAGGCACAGAGCTGAGCTAAGAGTACCAGAACAATTTCAGGAATTAATTTATTTTCCCACGATCCTCATTAATCTAAATGAGAACCACAGACCTAAATACATTGTTATAAACCTAGATAATCCCTTCCATGCTGACTGCCCAATTTTTGCTAACTTGTTTGTTTGGGTGAGCATTTTTTAAACAAGTTTCTAAAATCAGAGGGAGGAATAGGTTTTTAACACGTCTTGTCACAGCAAAGGAGCAGATAGAGCAGCTGCCGTACCTGGGCACCTGATTTCAGTCTTGGTGCAAAGGCTGTCCTAAAAATGACTTTGCTGCTTAACTCAAATGCTTCAGAAACTGAAAATCATTAATTTTCTACATGGATGCAGCTGCAGAATTATAGATTCTTATAGACTCTTATAGATTCTTATAAATCCTTCAAACAGCATGTCACAACTGAGAACTATATGGTTTAGTTGGTACAGGTTTCAGAAAAAGTATAGTTAAAAAAGCTTTAAATCAAAACAGAGAGTGGATCAAGCCTAAGGGTGGCAGCATCTAGCTTTAGTTTAAGGTAGCCATTTTCTCCCCAGATCAGAAATTCAGATTGATTTGTAAGCAGCTGCATTGGCAACAATAGCAAAGAATAGAATCTATTTTTGGAAGCAGAAGAGAAAGAATGAATTATATTTATCTTGTATATATTAAAATAATTCCTTGTTGTTTCAATGGTTCTTGACTTTTACGTTTTACAAATGGATTTTAAAAAATATTTTTACATTAAATTTAACATTCAATGAATAAAATAAAAATTATTAAATAAACTTCAGAAAATATCTACACTGACCTATTCCTGAAAAAAAAAAAAAGATAACAAATAAAACCACCCCAAAAAGCCACACCAAAACCCACAAAAGGTAATGTTTTTCATGGGCATCAGAAAAACATCAGAAAGGTATTTAACAAATAGTAGTTTCCTAACATCCAGGGAGGAAAAGCTTTTCACTAGAGAAAAAAGCAAAACAAACGTTGAGGCTGATGTATTCTCACTTTCCCAAAGCACCACGGATTGGTTTGTAAGCTGTTACTTCTAAGTGAATGGAATGGGCTGAAGCTCCCACTTGAATAGATCCTGCCGTCTCTGTCCTTGCCTCTGCAGAGCTGGTGCCAAGCACAGTGAAGATTTTGGGATGAGCTGTTTTTAGGAAGCTTGGCGGGAGCAAGGCTTGATTCTGCATCTGTTCCTAGTACCATAGAGTCTAGAGCAGAAGTCTGGAGTGGCGTACAAGGCAACAATAGAATTAGCAATATACAAATACCAGATATATTTATTTTTGCAGTGCAAGCAGAAGTATACTAGTGTGCTGTCACAAGAGGCCTGCAGTCTCTTTAGCTAGAGAGGGAAGCGTCAAGGGCCTTGGATTTCACCCTGTATTGCCCAGGGACTCCACAGCAGGCTGGGCATGGTCTTCATTATGGAAGTGGAAGAAGATGGGTGGGTGCCTCTGTGCCCATTTGTTCCTTGGACCCTTTGCAGAGCTTTTTGGAAAACTCGACCCATAGCATGCATCTAAGAAACTGTGGTCTGCGCTGTTTCTGAAGAGCTGGACTGTCAGGATACCACACAGCAGGAGTCAAGATTACTTGGCTACGCACAGATGACTGAACCACTTGCAAATACGTACAACAGCAAGGTGGAAAAAGCTTTAGTTCGGTGTGGAAGAGAAAAAGAAGAAAAGAAATGCCTTTCTGCTCTAAACACTACTTCTCACTGACACTAACAAAGACTGATGCAGAAGCTGTGTTCAGCTTCCATAATTAATCAGCTATAAATGGATAAATGATGCTGACTAGAGAAAATACCCATTCTTGTGTACAAAGCAGAGCTCCAGACTTCTTTTGTAAGA